TTTTTTTTTTTTTTAACATATAATGTATTATTTGTTTCAGAGGTACAGGTCTGTGATTCAACAGTCTAACACAATATACATCTTAATGAAAAACAACAAAAAAACACCTGAATGAAAATGGAAGTTTGCATTATTCCAGATATTATTTTAACCAAAGAAAACTCCATGAGGCATAATGTCAAATGTTAGGATTACTCATACATCCATAAGCTGCTTGTATGGAGTAATAAATTCACAAATGAAATGAAATTTGTTTTCTGGCTTGTTTCTCCTGTGTCTTTAAAAGCATTTCTCCCACAAAATGACCGGAAAAAAAAAAGGTAAATTCTTTGTTAGCAAATTAATATCTACTGTATATTTTCCGTTGGACACACAGAAGTTTCAGTCACAAAATAATTTGCTAGGCTAGAGTCACTGAGCAACAGACCTAAAAAATATTCAAGAACTGAATTAATAACATTGGACCTATAAAATTTTCTTCAGTAATCCACCTCTGTAATTAGTATTTTGTTGTGAGCTCGTATAGAGATTAAGTGCCGAAAGAGTTAAATATGTTAATGTTAAAAAAAAAAACACACACACACAAAAACAGTGGTTCTGAAAATGCAGTCCCTGCCCCAGAGCAACACTAGCTGTTGGAAATGAGAACTCTCAGGCCCTCTAAATCACACATGGTGGGTCTGCAGTCTGTTCTAACAAGCCTCCGGGGGTTCTGCTGCCCCTTGAAAACATGAGAACCACTGTTTCAAAGGATAACCTGAAGAGACCCAATTTTTAATAAGACTTGGGCATTTTATTAACTTCTAAAACTTAAAAGTTAGTATCTTCCTGAAATGACTTTCTTTTCCGCTGACTAGAAAATCTGTAATGAAAAGCAGTTATTTTAAATAAACACTATTCATCTCTTACCAAAATTAACTTCAAAATCCTAAAGTTCCAATGAGAGATCCACTTGACAAGCTTTTAAGATCTCTCTGATAGGCACAAAATGCCACAGCTCGGATCTGTGGCACAGTTAGCCTACGCACATTAAATTTTTTCCCCTTTCCCACATATTTTGAGATTATTTCTTCAAATTTTATTTAAGGGGCTTACAAATAAAGCAATTTAAAAAAAAAATTTTTTTTTAAAGATTTTATTTATTTGACAGAGACACAGCGAGAGAGGGAACACAAGCAGGGGGAGTGGAGAGCGAGAGGGAGAAGCAGGCTTCCTGCAGAGCCAGGAGGCCTATGCGGGGCTCGATCCCAGGACCCTGGGATCATGACCTGAGCCAAAAGCAGACACTTAACTACTGAGCCACCCAGGCGCCCCAGCAATTTAAAAATTTAATACCAACAAAAGGTCTACAGAATATTTACAAAGTAATTTTCTAATTTCAAAAGGCAATTCTAATTTTTTAGTAACTCCCTAGGTTCATGGGTCTCCAACAGAAAACCGTTTACCTGTAAAAAAAAAAAAGAAAAAAAATAGTTTACCTGGACGGCTTTACTTTTTAAGTAGGCTCCATGCCCAGCATGGAGCCCAGTGTAGGGCTCTAACTCACGACCATAATGAGATCAAGACCTGAGCTGAAACAGTCACTCAACCGAATGAACCACCCAGCAGGCACCACCCCCCCTTATTTTTTAAAGTAATCTCTATACCCAACGTGGGGCTTGAACTCCTGACCCAGAGATCAAGAGTCACATGCTCTACTGACTGGGCCAGCCAGGCACTCCTACCTGGAGGCTTTTAAAATAAAATACTGCATTGCTGGATCCCACCCCCAAGTTTCTGTTCAGTAGCTGGACCTGAGAATGTGCATTCTTAAGCTCCCAGATAGTCTAGGGACCAGCTTTGAGAATTATTACACAAAGTTAATTTTCTAGAGCTGGATAACAGAATGCAAAACAGAGCTCTCACATTTTTGTCCTGCACCGGCATCAGCTACTTTAAAAAGGTGAAATTTCTCAAAGTTTGCGTATGTCAGCGCTTCTCACACAACGTGCACTCACTCATTCAAATCCCCTGGGATCGGGTTAAAATGGGCAGTCAGATTCACTAGGTCAGCTGTGTGTTCTGAGATTCTGCACTGCCAAGAAGCCCGGAAGGCTGATTCTCCTGGTCTCTGGGACCACGCTTGTAGTAGCAAGAACAGAAGAGATGGTTTATCATCACCAGATAAAGTAGTTAGGAAAGAAATACCCTTAAAATAATACTTTCTTTAGGATGCCAGTATACCATCACTGGAATTCTGTCCTGAAGGTCACAATGTAAATGTTTCTATAAAATTTTATAGCTAACTTAACAAAATAATAGGAAAATTGTTACCTTTACAAAAGGTGAAAGCAGCAAGGAAGATATGGAGCTAGTATCCCTAGTATGGATCTGAATTTATGATATTAAACCATTTTTAGGATTACACACTTTCCAAGGAACTTCTAGACTTGGGATCACTAAACACCAAGAGGGAATTTCTTTTCTTAGTAAAGACCTGTTTAATATGTCATTTCTACTCTCAGTTCATTTTTACCTGAAAACAAATACTAACCGTGAGGAAAGACGAGGGCAATCTGGAGATAAAACTAGCCTCCAACTTTGCTCAGAGAGAAGAGCAGTGACCCTGGGGGTCCCTTAATACAGGCAGAGAAGCAGAGGTTTCAGCTCCCGCTGTAAACTATTCATTGACATTCCACTAACTCAAAGCATGGGGACCATGACATACGTTCATGAAGTCAGCAAAGTCAGGATCAGGAAGTACGGCTAAGGAAACAGAAGCAAGGAACAATGTTTTAACAGACAATGACTGACCTGAAAGGAAATACTGACACCAGCACTTCCTAGTCTCTGAACTTGATTCATGCCAGAAGCCAAAATTCAGGAAGCTTCATCCATGTTTTCTTTCACCCTCCTAGGAATACCAAAAAATCAAATTTAGCCAGTTTCAATAATCAATAAAATGGCAGAAGTGTTAAATTATAAAGTTCTTAACAGTAATCAGTTTCCATTTGGTAAAGATTTTCCTTTGAATTCATTTTCTTAGAGAACATCAACAGACTTAAAATTCAGTTCAATTTGGGGCGCCTGGTGGCTCAGTCGTTAAGCGTCTACCTTCGGCTCAAGTCATGATCCCAGGGTCCTGGGATTGAGCCCCGCATCGGGCTCCCTGCTCGGCGGGAAGCCTGCTTCTCCCTCTCCCACTCCC